GGGGGGGGATGTGCAGATCTGTCCTTGCAGAGGAGGGAGAGCTGGTACCTGAATAAAACTTGGTCTTAAAGGTGCCACTGGACTGTTTTGGAATAGGGGGCCGGGGGTGGGGCTTGTTGCATGTGCCCGCCCCCTGGGCTCTTTACTGCCGGAGCTCCGCTCCTGTGCGCTCCTGCAGGAAATGACCCCTGTTGGAAATAATAGTCGCCTCCCAGTCTTCTGAAAGGAAAGGAAATGCCCCCGTAAGTAGACGGAAAAGGGATTCACTGCAGGGTTGTGGAACAAAGTTGGGGGGGACTTAGTTTCTAACCTTGTAATTTTTGTTTGCCCTGCTCTGGATGGCCGAGGCCAGCTTATTCTCTCTGATTAGTCCTTGGATGGGAGACCACCGAGGAAGTCCAGGGTCGCCACGCAGAGGCAGGCAAGGGCAAAACATCTGTGTTTTCCTGCTCTGACGTGGATGGCCCAGGCTAGCCCGGTCTCATCAAATATTGGAAGCTAAGCAGGGTCGGCGCTGGTTAGTCCTTGGATGGGAGGCCCACCAAATGAGTCCAGGGTTGTTACGCAGAGGCAGGCAATGGCAAACCACCTCCGAACATCTCGTGGATTGACCTGGATGGCCCAGGCTAGCTCGATCTTGTCAGAGCTTGGAAGCTAAGCAGGGTCAGACTTGGTTCATATTTAGAGGGGAGACCACCAAGGAAGCCCAGGGTTGCTACGCAGAGGCAGGCAAGGGCAAACCACCTCTGAACATGTCAGAATTGACCTGGATGGCCCAGGCTAGCTCATTCTTGTCAGAGCTTGGAAGCTAAGCAGGGTCGGCCTTGGTTCATACTTAGAGGGGAGGCCACCAAGCAGGTCCAGGGTTGCTACGCAGAGGCAGGCAAGGGCAAACCTCCTCCGATCATCTCGGTCTTGAATTGGACAGCCCAGGCTAGCCTGATCCTGTCAGATCTTGGAAGCTAAGGAGGGTCGGCCTTGGTTCATACTTAGAGGGGAGGCCACCAAGCAGGTCCAGGGTTGCTACGCAGAGGCAGGCAAGGGCAAACCTCCTCCGATCATCTCGGTCTTGAATTGGACAGCCCAGGCTAGCCTGATCCTGTCAGATCTTGGAAGCTAAGGAGGGTCGGCCTTGGTTCATACTTAGAGGGGAGGCCACCAAGCAGGTCCAGGGTTGCTACGCAGAGGCAGGCAAGGGCAAACCTCCTCCGATCATCTCGGTCTTGAATTGGACAGCCCAGGCTAGCCTGATCCTGTCAGATCTTGGAAGCTAAGGAGGGTCGGCCTTGGTTCATACTTAGAGGGGAGGCCACCAAGCAGGTCCAGGGTTGCTACGCAGAGGCAGGCAAGGGCAAACCTCCTCCGATCATCTCGGTCTTGAATTGGACAGCCCAGGCTAGCCTGATCCTGTCAGATCTTGGAAGCTAAGGAGGGTCGGCCTTGGTTCATACTTAGAGGGGAGGCCACCAAGCAGGTCCAGGGTTGCTACGCAGAGGCAGGCAAGGGCAAACCTCCTCCGATCATCTCGGTCTTGAATTGGACAGCCCAGGCTAGCCTGATCCTGTCAGATCTTGGAAGCTAAGGAGGGTCGGCCTTGGTTCATACTTAGAGGGGAGGCCACCAAGCAGGTCCAGGGTTGCTACGCAGAGGCAGGCAAGGGCAAACCTCCTCCGATCATCTCGGTCTTGAATTGGACAGCCCAGGCTAGCCTGATCCTGTCAGATCTTGGAAGCTAAGGAGGGTCGGCCTTGGTTCATACTTAGAGGGGAGGCCACCAAGCAGGTCCAGGGTTGCTACGCAGAGGCAGGCAAGGGCAAACCACCTCTGAACATGTCAGAATTGACCTGGATGGCCCAGGCTAGCCGGATCATGTCAGATCATAGAAGCTAAGGGTTGGCCTTGGTCCGTACTTAGATGGGAGGCCACCAAGAAGGTCCAGGGTTGCTACGCAGAGGCAGGCAAGGGCAAAACCACCTCTGTACATCTGTCACCTTGAAGACCCCATTGGGTCACCATAATTCTGCTGCGACTTGACGGCACTTTCCACCATGGCCAGTTTTCATCCTGCAAAGCTGCAGCTCTCAGGGGCAAAGCTGATGCAAGGTTGAAGCAATGTTCCGTCACGGCAAACGTGATGGGCAGCGCTGGGCAAACTCCCCTCCCCTCCCCTCTTGGGTCATCCCCCCCCCCATTCACCTTTGCCTGCATTTTGTGTCTTCTGGCAGGGATGGGTGTGGAGGTGTTAAGTACGCTGGTCGGGTCCGGCATCCAAGGCCAGATCGTTGGCAGCCACCACGCGAGCATGCAGAAGAGCTGTGACGTGGAGAACGGCACCTCCCCGGGGAACGGCACCTCTCTTCTCACCCACACGCTGGAGGACACAGTAAGAGTTGGCCGGCGCAGCTGAGTAGGCGAGAGATGAAGAGTTGAGTTCCAGTTTGAGAGCCAGGTTGGCGCAGTGGTGAAGTGCGCGGACTCTAATCTGGGAGAACCGGGTTTGATTCCCCGCTCCTCCAGTTGCAGCTGCTGGATGACCTTGGGCAAGCCGTAGTTCTGACAAGAGCTGTCCTTGAAAGGCCGGTTCTGGAAAGAGCTCTCTCAGCCCCACCTGCCTCACAGGGTGTCTGCTGTGGGGAGGGGATGGGAGAGGAGTTTGTAAGCCGCTCTGAGACTCCTCCAGGTAGGGAAGGGCGGGGTATAAATCCAATCTCTTCTCCTTCTTCTTGATTCCCCACTCCTCCACTTGCACCTGGCTGGATGACCTTGGGCAAGCCATAGTTCTGCCAGAGAGCTGTTCTTTCATGAGCAGTCCTCGAAAGAGCTCTCTCAGTCCCACCCACCCCAGAGGGGAGGGAAGGAGTTTGTAAGCCGCTGTGAGGCTCCGAGTGAAGGGTGGGGTATAAATCCAATCTCTTCTTCTTCCTCCCTTTGTTCCTCCTGTGTGTGTGTGTGTGTGGTTCGGCCAGTTTGGTCTAGTGGTTAGGAGCGCAGACTCTAATCTGGGAGAACCGGGTTTGAGTCCCCACTCCTCCACATGCAGCTGCTGGCGTGACCTTGGGTCAGTCACAAGTTCTCTCCGAGCTGTTCTCTCAAGGGCAGTCCTCGAGAGAGCTCTCTCAGCCCCACCTACCCCAGAGTTTGTCTGTTTTGGGGAGGGGAAGGGAAAGGAGTTTGTAAGAACATAAGAACATAAGAGATGCCAATGTTGGATCAGGCCAAAGGCCCATCCAGTCCAACACTCTGTATCCCACAGTGGCCAGAAATACCAGTGCCATCAGGAGGTCCACCAGTGGGGCCAGGACATTAGAAGCCCTCCCACTGTTGACCCCCCCCAAGCACCAAGATGACAGAGCATCACTTGCCCCAGAGTCCCTATCTATACCTTGTGGCTAATAGCCACTGATGGACCTCTGCTCCATATGCTTATCTAATTCCCTCTTGAAGCCGTCCATGCTTGTAGCCGCCACCACTTCCTGTGGCAGTGAATTCCAAGTGTTAATCACTCTTTGGGTGAAGAAGTACTTCCTCTTATCCGTTCTAACCCGACCGCTCAGCAATTTCATGGAGTGCCCACGGGTTCTTGTATTGTGAGAAAGGGAGAAAAGTACCTCTTTCTCTACCTGCTCTTTCCCATGCATAATCTTATAAACCTCAATCATGTCACCCCTCAGTCGTCGTTTCTCCAAGCTAAAGAGCCCTAAGCGCCTTAACCGTTCCTCATAGGGAAAGTGTTCCAACCCTTTTATCATTCGAGTTGCTCTTTTCTGCACTTTTTCCAAAGCTATAATATCCTTTTTAAGGTGTGGTGACCAGAACTGCACACAGTATTCCAAATGAGGTCTCACCATTGATTTATATAGGGGCATTATTATATTGGCTGATCTGTTTTCAATACCCTTCCTAATAATCCCCAGCATAGCATTGGCCTTCTTTATTGCAGTCACACACTGTCTCGACATTTTCAGTGAGTTATCTACTACAACTCCAAGATCTCTCTCTTGATCAGTCTCTGCCAGTTCAGACCCCATCAACGTGTATTTATAGTTAGGATTTTTGGCTCCAATGTGCATCACCTTGCACTTGGCCACATTGAACCCCATTTGCCATGTTGACGCCCACTCGCCCAACTTTGACAGATCCCTTTGGAGTGCCTCACAATCCTCACTGGTTTTCACCACCCTGAACAACTTCGTATCATCCGCAAATTTAGCCACTTCACTGCTTACTCCCATCTCCAAATCATTAATGAACAAGTTAAAAAGCAGTGGACCAAGTACTGATCCCTGTGGTACCCCACTGCTTACACCCCTCCACTGGGAGAACTGCCCATTTATACTCACTCTCTGTTTTCTATTAATTAGCCAGTTTTTGATCCATAAAAGGACTTGTCCTTTTATCCCATGATTTTTGAGCTTGCTTAGGAGCCTTTGATGAGGAACTTTATCAAAAGCTTTCTGGAAGTCAAGGTAAACAATATCTATTGGATCCCCCTTGTCCACATGTTTGTTCACCCCCTCAAAGAACATTAACAGGTTAGTGAGACAAGATATTCCCTTACAGAACCCATGCTGAGTCTGCCTCAATAGGTTTTGTTCATCTATGTGCCTACTAATTCTTTCCTTAATAATGGTTTCCACCAATTTACCCGGTATCGACGTCAGACTGACTGGCCTGTAATTTCCCGGATCTCCTCTGGAACCCTTTTTAAAGATGGGAGTGACATTAGCTACCTTCCAGTCCTCAGGAATGGAGGCTGATTTTAAGGAGAGATTACATATTTTTGTCAGGAGATCCACAAGTTCACAATTGAGTTCTTTCAGAACTCTTGGATGTATGCCATCTGGGCCTGGTGATTTATCAGTTTTTAAGTTGTTTATCAGTTTTAGGACCTCCTCTCTCGTCACCTCAATCTGACTCAGGTCTTTCAACACCCCTCCCGAACTCAGCGGCTCTGGAGTGGGCAAGCACCTCTCATCTTCCACACCTCCTCCTCCTCCTCCTCCTCCTCCTCTTCTTCTTCTGGTGGCAATGAAGGAGAGACCTCTGGGAGCAGGGGAGGGGAACGGAGGCAAAGTCGGCTGCGAGGCAGGAAAGAGCCCAGCACGGTGCAGTGGTTAAAGTGTCAGTCTAGGAGATGAGAGACCCAGGTTCGAATCCCCACATGTGCTACGGAAGCTCGCTGGGTGACCGTGGGCCAGTCGCACTCTCTCAGCCTGGCCTACTCACGGGGTTAGCATCAAGATAAAATGGAGGAGAGAAGAATGACGTAAGCCACTCTGGGTCTTCATTGTGGAGAGAGATGGGATGGAAACAAAGTAAACAAATAGGTTTGGGACCGGAACCCAGGCAGGCCTCTGGAGACTGGCGAACGGCAAGCCTTGGGCAATGAGATCGGGCAGAAGCCCCCCAACAGGATGCCTTGGTGCCCGCTGACACCCTTCCCAATGCCCGCCAAGTGTTTTTAGAGAGCGGGTGGGGTCGGGTTGCCAATCTCCAGGTGGTGGCTGGAGCTCTCCCGCAATTCCAACTGATCTCCAGGTTGACAGAAATCTGTTCCCCTGTAGAAAATGCCTCTTTGGACCTTGGACCTCATGGCATGATATCCCAAACTCCGCCCTTCTGAGGCTCCACCCCCCCCAAATCTCCACGTATTTCCCAACCTAGAGGTGGCAACCCTAGGGTGGGGACAGAAGGGTTTTTTGCCCAGCTGAGCTTCTTACTGACCAATGGACATTTGATTGGCTGCGCAGATTTTTAAAATCATCACTTGGGCAGCAGCAGCCACCACAGCACAAGTATCTTCACTGTGTGACTGAAGGGAAGCTGCGGCAGCCATTTTGTGGCTGGCTCCGTCTCCTGCGGCAGCCATTTTGTGGCTGGCTCCGTCTCCTGCGGCAGCCATAGTGTGGCTGGCTCCGCCTCCTGCGGCAGACATTTTGTGGCATCTACCCCCTGTGGCAGCCATTTTGTTGCTGGCTCCATCTCCTGCGGCAGCCATATTTGGCTGACTCCGCCTCCTGCGGCAGCCATTTTGTGGTTGTGCCCACCACACTCTGTCAGAATGCCAAAGTTGCCTACAGGCTGGGAGGGCGGGGTATAAATATGATAGATAAATAAATAAATAAATCTAATAAATAAATAAATAAATATAAAGTTTGGAGACCCCCTGGGGTAGGGAATAATTGATTGGAAGGAGAGCTGGGAGGCAGGGAAGCAACGTAGGCAGGAGAAGTCCCTGGGCCACGGTTGAGGCACGGAAGGCGATAGGTCCAGTACGGGCAAGGCAGGGAGTGGAGGTCCATGCTTGGCAGAGCAAGACCACCACTCCTGGCTCCCCATTGTAGTCTCAAATGGCTGGTTGGAAGAACTGCCAGACCAGGAGGCTCTGGATTCGAATCCTAGCAGAGCCCAGCCCAGTCTGTCTCTGCCTGGTCTCCTCCTGCAGCTGGGTGCCTTTTGTCTCGGGGAGGAAGGTGCGGCAGTCCTGTCTGGAGACTAAGGGGAGGGGGGCTTCTCTCTGCTTTCCAGCGCAGGTCGTACCTGGTGGCCGCCACGGTGCTGGGATTCCTCTACTGTGTGTCCTGCCTGGTCCTCTTTTTCGGCGTGAAGGAGCAGCCAGGTACGTCCGCCCGTCCCGCCCTTTTCTCAAAACCTGAACACAGATTTGGGAGAGGCAACCGGGAGAGGCGCCGGCACATTCTAGGAAAGGTTCTAAATCACACACTCCTGTTCACACATAACCTACGGCCAGGGGTCTTGTTGTAGAAAAAGAGCTGCCGGAGCTCATTAGCATAACTCATTAGCATAACTTATTTGCATATGCCACGCCCCCTGACATCACCGGAAGTGACAGAAGGCCACACCCCCTGACATCACCGGAAGTGTGTCAGAAGGCCCGGCTACTTACCCTCCTGCTTCATCCTCATTCCCAAACGGAATGAGGATCGAAGCAGAGGGCGGGGTAAAGAAGGGGGCGGGGCTTCACCACGTGACCGCCCCGCCCCCTAGAGGTTCTCTTCCGGAGCTCCGTACCTGAGAGCTCCCCCCCGACTAGAGCCCTGCCTACGGCTAGACCCTTTAACTGCAGATGTGGGTTGTGGAACCTGGGACTGTCTGCATACCACGCAGAGGCTCTGCCACTGAGCCACGGTCCCTTCCTAGTGTGGCGGAGCAGAGGGAGAGGGGCAGACCTGCAGAGATGAGGGACCTCAGTTGGAGACTCTTGAACTGGAAATCTCTCGGATCAAAGCTCAGCTGTCCTTCACGAAAAGCCCACCCCACAAACCAGCTCTGAACAGAAGAACCCAAGAAGAGCCCTGCTGGATCAGACCAGTGGTCCATCTAGCCCAAACTCCTGCCTCACACAGTGGCCAACCAGTTCCTCTGGAGGGCCAACAAAAGGGCATAGAGGTCGAGGCCTTCATAAGAACATAAGAGGAGCCCTGCTGGATCAGACCAGTGGTCCATCTAGTCCACCAGCATCCTGTCTCACACAGAAGTCAAGCAGTTCCACTTGAGGGCCAACAACAGGGCATAGACACTGAGGTCTTCCCCTGATGAGAACATCAAAAGAGCGCTACTGGATCAGACACATGGTCCATCTAGTTCAGCATCCCATCTCACAGAGTGGCCAACCAGTTCCTCTGGAGGGCCAACAACAGGGCAGAGAGGCTGAGGCCTTCATAAGAACATCAGAAAAGCCCTGCTGGATCAGACCAGTGAGGGCCCATCTAGTTCAGCCTCCTGTCTCACACAGTCGCCATGGCCAACCACTTCTTCTGGAGGGCCAACAGCAGGGCATAGAGGCCGAGGCCTTCATAAGAAAATCAGAAGAGCCCTGCTGGATCAGACCAGTGGTCCATCTAGTCCAGCATCCTGTCTCACACAGTGGCCAACCAGTTCCTCTGGAGGGCCAACAACAGGGCAGAGAGGCTGAGGCCTTCATAAGAACATCAGAAAAGCCCTGCTGGATCAGACCAGTGAGGGCCCATCTAGTTCAGCCTCCTGTCTCACACAGTCGCCATGGCCAACCACTTCTTCTGGAGGGCCAACAGCAGGGCATAGAGGCCGAGGCCTTCATAAGAAAATCAGAAGAGCCCTGCTGGATCAGACCAGTGGTCCATCTAGTCCAGCATCCTGTCTCACACAGTGGCCAACCAGTTCCTCTGGAGGGCCAACAACAGGGCAGAGAGGCTGAGGCCTTCATAAGAACATCAGAAAAGCCCTGCTGGATCAGACCAGTGAGGGCCCATCTAGTTCAGCCTCCTGTCTCACACAGTCGCCATGGCCAACCACTTCTTCTGGAGGGCCAACAGCAGGGCATAGAGGCCGAGGCCTTCATAAGAAAATCAGAAGAGCCCTGCTGGATCAGACCAGTGGTCCATCTAGTCCAGCATCCCGTCTCACACAGGGGCCAGCCAGTTCCTCTGGGGCATGGAGGCCGAGGCTTCTCCTGAAGCTGCCTCCTGGCTCTGGGGTTCAGAGATCGACTGCCTCTGAACATAGAGGTTCCCCTCAGTCACCATGGCCAGTAGCCTCCGATAGACCTACCCTCCATGGATCTACCTGATCCCCTTTTAATCCTCTGGATCGTCTCCGTCTCGCAGGTCCCCTCAGCCCTTTGGGAAAGGCTAGGCTGCCCTTCTTCAGGAGCCTGCGGATCATCCTGAGTCACCGATCTTACGTCTGGCTCCTCTGCGGCTTCTTGTGTGCCTCGCTGGCCTTCCAGGTAGGGCACCTCCATCGGCGGCATGAGCAGCAGAGGTATTGTCCTTCCCTTGCGGCAGACGTGGGGAACTGCACTGCATGATGGTCCCCCGAAATAGGGACATAAGAACATAAGAGACGCCAATGTTGGATCAGGCCAAAGGCCCATCCAGTCCAACACTCTGTGTCACACAGTAACCAAAACCCAGGTGCCATCAGGAGGTCCAGCAGTGGGGCCAGGACACCAGAACCCCTCCCACTGTTGCCCCCCCCCCCAAGCACCAAGATGACAGAGCATCACTTGCCCCAGAGCCCCTATCTATATCTTGTGGCTCATAGCCACTGATGAACCTCTGCTCCATATGCTTATCTAATTCCCTTTGGAAGCCGTCCATGCTTGTAGCCGCCACCACTTCCTGTGGCAGTGAATTCCAGGTGTGAATCACTCTTTGGGTGAAGAAGTACTTCCTTTTATCCGTTCTAACCCGACTGCTCAGCAATTTCATGGAGTGCCCACGAGATCTTGTATTGTGAGAAAGGGAGAAAAGTACCTCTTTCTCTACCTGCTCTTTCCCATGCATAATCTTATAAACCTCAATCATGTCACCCCTCAGTCATCGTTTCTCCAAGCTAAAGAGCCCCAAGCGCTTTAACCTTTCCTCACAGGGAAAGTGTTCCAACCCCTTTATCATTCGAGTTGCCCTTTTCTGCACTTTTCCCAAAGCTATAATATCCTTTTTAAGGTGTGGTGACTAGAACTGCACACAGTATTCCAAATGAGGTCTCACCACTGATTTATATTTGGCCATGATGATATTGGCTGATCTGTTTTCAATACCCTTCCTAATAATCCCCAGCATAGCATTGGCCTTCTTTATTGCAGTCACACACTGTCTCGACATTTGCAGTGAGTGATCTACTACAACTCCCAAGTGGCTGTTTCCCTGTGACTATCGCTGAGAATGGCAGTCGGGGTGAGGAAAGAACCAGAGCGGTCTCCATGTGTGTAGAAAGCTCGCCTCTCAAGGAGACAGGGTGGTGCTGTTTGTTTAGTAGGGCTGCCAACCTCCAGGAGGGGACTGGAGATCTCCTGGAATTATGGCTGACCGCCCGACTATAGCAACAACAACAACAATAATAATAACAATCAGTTCCCCTGGAGAAAACGGCGGCTTTGGAGGTCGGACTCTATGACATTATGCCATGCTGAGGTCAGAGAGCCAGTTTGGTGCAGTGGTTAAGAGCAGCGGACTGTGATCTGGGAGAACCGGGTTTGATTCCCCCACTCCCTCACATGCAGCCAGCTGGTGTGACCTTGGGTCAGTCACAAGTTCTCTCGGAGCCGTTTTCTCAAGGGCGGTCCTCGAAAGAGGTCTCTCAGCCCCACCGACCTCACAGGGTGTCTGTTGTGGGGAGGGGAAGGGAAAGGAGATTGTCAGCTGCTCTGAGACTCCAAGTGAAGGGCAAGATATAAATCCAATCTTCTCCTCCTCCATCTCCTCCTTCTCCCCCTTCCTCCACATGGCCCTCTTTCTCTGCTCTCCCACAGCTCGCCCAGGGGATTTTCGCCTTCTTCTGCACACATGCAGCTGGACTGCCTGGGACCTTCCAACACCTGGTGCTCATCATGCTGGTAAGGAACTCTTGCCTTTGTCCCCTGGGTGTGTCTGATACCGTGGGGAGGGAACTGGGGTCACTGCCAGCTTGCCCCGCCATGGCAACCATTCCTACGGAGGCCGGCCCTGTATTGGTTGCAGCTCGCCCGGGGAATCTTTGTCTTTTTCCAGCTGCACGCAGGCGCTACGCTCCACAGACCAGAGGTGTCAAACTCATTCGTTACAAGGGCCGGATCCTCCAGTATATATAATCCTGTTTTGGTCATGGACTCCCCTGAACATCCCAACAGGCTCCAAAATCAGTTCGCTCTCTGATCTGTCATTCAGAGGGTCTCCCTATCCACTGGCTGCTTTGCCAGAGTCCTGCCTCCAACATTCTAAACAGTTTGCTGTTCCTCTCCCCACCACAGCCAGTCAGAACACAGAGGTCGTTTGCATATGTGGCCTGATTGGCCTTTGCCTCGGAACACAGAGGTCGTTTGCATATGCGGCCTCACTGGCCTTTCCCTCTAACATTCTAAACAGTTTGCTGTTGCTGTTCTGAGGGAAAATAAATTTCCCCTTCGTGTCTGTTGGGGGAAACCATGGTTGCCAATCTCCAGGTGAGGGCTGGAGACCACTCAGAATTATAACTGCTTTCCAGATGGCAGAGATCAGTTCCCCTGGAGAAAATGGTGGGCTCTGTGTCCTTATATGCTGCTGAGGTGGCCCCTGTATGACACCCAATGTGACGTAGCAGTCAGGGCTTTCAGCTATTGAAGCTGATGTCCAGATGACCCAGATCAGTTCTCCTGAAGACAATGGCTGCTTTGGGCAGTAGATTCTATGGCATTATACCTTGCTGAGGCCCCTCCCCGCCCCAAACCCTGCCCTCCCCAGGCTCTACCCCTCAAATCTACAGGTATTTCCCAACCGAGAGTTGGCAACTGTGTAATCGGCGATGGTACCACTTTCCAGACCCTTGGAACCCAGAAAACGTGGCACAGGAGGAGGTGCTTTTCTACCTTAGCTGTGCCTGCATAGCCTTAAATTAAACCACTACACCAAACTGGCTTACATTCTCCTTTCTCTCAGCTTACGTTCTCCTTTCCCTTCCCCTCCCCACAACAGACACTCTGTGGGGTAGGTGGGGCTGAGAGCTCTAACTGATGGCACTGGTATTTCTGGCCACTGTGTGATACAGAGTGTTGGACTGGATGGGCCTTTGGCCTGATCCAACATTGGCGACTCTTATGTTCTTAACTGCGAACGGCTCTTGAGAGAACTTGTGAGTGACCCAAGGTCACCCAGCTGGCTGCGTGTGGAGGAGTGGGGAATCAAACCCAGCTCTCCCAGATTAGAGTCTGCTGTATCTTATTGTATTTATATTTTGCCATTCCATCTTGGGAAGCCGCTCTAAATGTCGGCTGAGTGGGAGGGCATCAGCGTTATGGAAATCACTTAAAAACAATGCTTGGGAGGTTCTGAAAATTGTCCTCCCTGCCAAGTGGTCCCAATGGCTGGGCTGGTGGAGGTGAGATCCCCATTTTTCTCTTTCTTCTCCCTCCAGGTGGTGGCCTGCTTCTCCATCCCCGTCTGGCAGTGGTTCCTGGTCAGGTTTGGGAAGAAAACGGCTGTTTTTGTGGGTCTGTCGGTGAGTGGCCCTTTACGATTGGCCCGTTAAATGTCCGAGAGCCAATGGGCTGTAGTGTCTGACTAAGGTCTGGGAGACCCAGGTCTGAATCCCCACTTGGCCATGGAAGCTTACTGGGTGGCCTTGGGCCCATCAGGCAGAGGTCTTCCCCATCACCTATAGCCTGGTGATGCCGGGGATCCGACCTGGGACCTTCTGCATTGAGATCAGTATTGTCTACTCAGACTGGCAGCGGCTTTCCAGGGTCTCAGGTTAGAAGACTTTCACAGCACTTACTGGCTGGTCGTTTTACCTGGAGATGCCAGGGATTGAACCTGGGACCTTTAGCATGCTCTGCCACTGAGCCACAGTCTGGTGCAGTGGTTAAGAGCGCGAACTCTAATCTGGGAGGAACCTGGTTTGATTCCCCACGCCTCCACATGCAGCAGCTGGTGTTACCTGGGGTCAGTCACAAGTTCTCTCAGAGCTGTTCTCTCACGGGTAGTCCTCGAAAGGGCTCTCTCAACCCCACCTACCTCGCACAGGGTGTGTCTGTTGTGGGGAGGGGAAGGAGTTGGTAAGCTGCTCTGAGACCCCTTTGGGTAGTGAAGGGCGGGATATAAATCCAATCTCCTCCTCCTTCTCCTCCTCTTTTAAAGGAGCCACAAGTCTGTCAGTGAACCACAACCCATTTTTGAGGTCCGAGAAGGACCGGGCACAGGTAATACTGTCACGATGTTGTTTTAGAAAGCTGCAAGGCCCGTGACGGCCGGGAACTCGCTGGAAAATTGCAGCTTTGTTTCCCGGTGGGTCGGCACATGATCTTCCGGCCAATCCACCTGTGCAGTTCAGGCTGTGGCACAGCAGAGGGGTGAGCTGGCAGGCACTAGGCAGTTGCGATTGCTAATTTCAGAGCCTTTGCAGAGACAATTGGCGGGTTGGAGCCGGAACAGGGGGCGTGGGAGGAAGGGCTTCTGCTGAGCTCTCTCTGCGGCGGCTGTTCAGAGGCAGGTGGAGAACCCAGCAGGCGAGCGAGCGGGCGGGTGGGATGCCGGCACAGAGCAGAAAGCTCTCTGGACAAGGCGTGGAGGAGGGGGTGGAAACCTCTCCAACCTCCGGTCGCTAAACCTCCAGCTGGCACCGGGAGATCTCCTGGAAAAACAGAATTTCTCCATGTTGGATCAATGTCTCAGTAAATACAAAATAAATTGCTGAAAAAGTTCACAAAAATATAAAGATGTAATACATTTCAAATATCAAAGATGTAATTTAATATTTGTTTTCCAGCAGGTGCTAGCAGGTATACAGCACAGGAACAAGGACGAACACTTCTCGAGTCTATCTGCGTTCGTTTCGAGTGATCTTTCTCAATCTCCTATCAACAATAACAAATACAATATAATAGGAAACAAGAAACTCCAAAAAGTCTCACAAATGACTTAAATACAACTTAATAAAATTGTGAAATAATACATACAGTCTTCAATATTCAATGAACTTCTGCAATTCAATGCACCACAAGGGTATCCAAAACATTCTGTCAATTTAAACATAATAACAAATATTAAATATAGTTAATGTTCAATAAACAAATCAACAGTCCAAAATAAAGGTGGTCATCCTGAATACTATATATCAATAACTCACCAAAATGGCTCACACAGCTCCTACACACTGATTCTTTTACATGGACAAGTCAGTCTTACTAGTTAATTGGAAGCTTCCTCTATAAATACAAAGTGCATATCCGGTTTGGGCAGCCAACTGACAAGAAGAAAAGGTAAGTGTATCATAAGTTGGCAACCAGCTATTTACAAAGAGGGGCTGCCCCCAGCTATCCTGGGCATACCTGGGACAAACATATGTCCCAAGTATGTACTAGGGTTGCCATCAATGCTCCCTCTAAGTTGTGGAGTCTTGTGAGCAAAGATTCTACTTTGTGAGCCACTGGCATTAAAGTGGTGAGTGAGGGATTTGGCTCCTGCATCAATTAGTTGGCTCTGGAGCCCTCCTTCCTGAGCCAAGACAAAAATGTGTGAGCCGGAGGTTAAAAAAAATGTGAGCCAGCTCACACTCACTCAGCTTAGAGGGAACACTGTCTGTGAGCAATGCTCCCTCTAAGCTGTGGAGCCTTGTGAGCAAAAATTCTACTTTGTGAGCTGCTGGCATTAAAGTTGTGAGCGAGCGATTTGGCTGCTGAATAAATTAGCTTGCTCTGGAGCCATCCCTTCCTGAGCTCAGGCAAAAACTTGTGATCTGGAGGCTAAAAAACTGTGAGCCAGCTCACACTCACTCAGCTTAGAGGGAACATTGGTTGCCACCCCTGAGTTGGGAAATCCCTGGAGATTTGGGGGTGGAGCCTCGGGAGGGCGGGGTTTGGGCAGGGGAGGGACCTCAGCAGGGTATAATGACGTAGAGTCCCCCCTCCCGTCCCCCCCCCAAATCTCCAGGAATTTCCCACCCTGGAGTTGGCAACCCTACATTGTTTTTCAGCCTCCACAGGAGCAATGATGGCCTTGTAAGGTTCATGTCCAAGATGACACTTCTGCTTCCGGAGGACTTTGCAAATTGAAAGGTGATAGGCATGAAATAAGAACATAAGAAGAGCCGTGCTGGCTTAGACCAGTGAGGGTCCATCTAGTCCACCATCCTGTCTCACACGGCGGCCAACCAGTTCCTCCGGAGGGCCAACAACAGGGCAGAGAGGCCGAGGCCTTCATAAGAACATCGGACGAGCCCTGCTGGATCAGACCAGGGGGCCATCTAGTCTCACATACTGGCCAACCAGTTCCTCTGGAGGGCCAACAACAGGGCACAAAGGCTGAGGCCTTCATGGGCACATCAGAAGAGCCCTGTTGGATCGGACCAGTGGTCCATCTAGTCCAGCATCCCGTCGCACACAGTGGCCAACCAGTTCCTCTGGAGGGCCAACAGCAGGGCATAGAGGCCGAGGCCTTCCCTTGATAATGACATCAGAAGAGCCCTGCTGGTTCAGACCGGTGGTCCATCTAGTCCACCTTTCTGTCTCACCCAGTGGCCAGCCAGTTCCTCTGGAGGGCCAGCAACAGGGCAGAGAGACCGAGGCCTTCCCCTGATGTTGCCTCCTGGGTCTGCCAATCAGAGGCTTAGTGCCTCTGAATAAGAACAGACGAACATGAGACGCCAATGTTGGATCAGGCCAATGGCCCCTCCAGTCCAACACTCTGTCACACAGTGGCTAGAAAGAGCAGGTGCCCTCAGGAGGTCCAGCAGCGGGGCCAGGACACTAGAAGCCCTCCCACTGTTCCCCACTGTTGTGTGTTGTGTTGTGAATGTGGAGATTCCCTGTAATCACCATAGTTAGTGGCCACTGATAGACTTATCTTCCGTGAATCTATCTAACCCCCTTTGAAAGCTGTTTGTTCCTGTGGCCATCGCGACATCCTCCGGCAGCGAATCCGACATTTGGATCCCTCTCTGTGTAAAGTGGTATTTCCTTTTGTGCGTTCTGAACCTCCTGCCCATCACCTTCACTGGATCTTTTTCACTGGATGGTCCGAGGTGACCAAGGCGGAAGGGAGACGATCCCGGCCTTGACGGATAAACACCCCCCCCCCTGGTTTCCCCCTCTCTCCCGTAGCTCATCATCCCGGCTCTCATCGTCATCACGCTGGTGACCCACAATTTCCTGGTCTTCGCTTTCATGGTGGCCCTCGCCGGGTGCAGCCTCTCGGTTCTCTACTTGTTGCCATGGTGAGTGGAAAGGGAAGTCCTGGACAATAGCGGGACCCGTGTGCCGGAGGGCGTGGGCCCCGGGCTTCCTGTGGTCCTCTTCCGTATTCTTCATGCCCGGAGCAGGGGATTTGTCTGGGGAGCTGGAAAAGCGCGAGCACTTTGGGATGCGAGAAAGGAAAAAAGAAAGGAAAAAAGAAACCGCTTTTCGTAAGATGAGAGAATCACAGGTTTCCCCTTGTCAGTCGAGCGGCCAGTTTCTAGGGGCAGCCTGGACTCCTCCAGGAATGACAACTGAGCGCCGGACTATAGAGATCCAGTTCCACTCCAGAGGGCAAACTCTATGGTATACCATAGATTGTAGGTGGAGTCCCTTCCCAGAATTCCCCCTTCCATAGAAGCAAAGAGGATTTATACCCCGCCCTTCACTGGGAGTCTCAGAGCAGCTTACAGTCTCCTTTCCCTTCCCCTTCCCACAACAGACACCCTGTGAGGGAGGTGGGGCTGAGAGAGCTCTCCTGAGAACTCCCCTTGACTGAGAACTCGCCTTGATAGAACAGCTCTGAAGGAACTTATGACTGACCCAAGAGATCAGTTCCCCTGGAGGAAATAGTTGCTTTGGAGGGTGGACTCTGTGGCATTATATCTCACCCTTCCCAGGTCCCCATGCTAAATCTCCAGGGTGGTTCTCTCAAGGGCAGTTTTCAGGATTTCACCTACAATCTATGGTATACCATAGAGTTTGCCCTCTGAAGCAGAACTGGATCTCTGTAGTCGGGTGCTCAGTTGTAATTCCTGTAGAGGTAGGTGGGGCTGAGAGAGCTCTTTCGAGGACTGCCCGTGAGAGAATAGCTCTGAGAGAACTTGTGACAGACCCAAGGTCACGCCAGCAGCTGCGTGTGGAGGAGGAGTGGGGAATCAAACCCGGTTCTCCCAGATTAGAGTCTGCGCTCCTAACCACTACACCAAACTGGCTCTCAAACTGGCACTGCCCCCAAATGTCAAGGAATTTCTCCTGCCACAGTTGGCGACCCTACCTGGTTCAGCCTCTTGTCAAGGTTCTGAATGGATCGGCGCTCCTCTTTGCAATGTCCCCCCCCCCCCGCTGCTCTTTTAACGAGAGTTCGAAAGCCTGGCGGAAGAGCTCCGTCTTGCAGGCCCTGCGGAACTGCAGCAGGTAAAGGAATGTCTGTATTCAAATAGGCTACGGGGCCATAGACGGGGCTATAGACATAGGAAAGAGGAAGAATGGGAGTCCGGTTATACACACCGTATGAGACAGTAAGCTGAAGGCAGACAAAAGGAAATTCTGTTTGCAAAATGGGCATTTGACCTGTGGAACTCTCTGCCACAAGATGCTAAGAGTGCCTCTGGTTTTGATGGGTTTCAAGGGGTTGGACACGTTTATGGAGGACAGTTCTGTCGTTGGTTATTAGCCAAAAATTGGTTCAGTAAAAACCAAGAAGGGATCACAGGTATAAGAAATGCAACAAACAAACACATGTGTGTTTAACAACACATGTTAAGTAGGAATCGTATTATATTGTGAAACTTGGCAATTTTAAAGGTCCATCATTCTCAATGAGCATCTGGATATAGACTCATTTCGTTCCAATCTTCCTCAGGACGAATCCTATAGTAATGAACCAAAAAGTGGTTCCGTGGCAGAATGGACTAGAACCTAGGTGGACCATTGGTCCGATCCAGCCAGTTTGGCGTAGTGGTTAGGAGCGCAGACTCTAATCTGGGAGAACCAGGTTTGATTCCCCACTCCTCCACATGCAGCTGCTGGTGTGAGCTTGGGTCAGTCACAAGTTCTCTCAGAGCTGTTCTCTCAGGAGCAGTCCTCGAGAGAGCTCTCTCAGCCCCACCTTCCTCACAGGCAATGCTCCCTCTAAGCGGTGGAGTCTTGTGAGCAAAAATTGTACTTTGTGAGCGACTGGCATTAAAGTTGTGAGCAAGAGATTTGACTACTGTATAAATCAGTTTGCTCTGGAGCCCTCCTTCCTGAGCGAAGGCAAAAATGTGTGAGCCAGAGGCTAAAAAACTGTGAGCTGGCTCACACTCACTCAGCTTAGAGCAGTGATGGCGAACCTTTTAGAGACCGCGTGCCCAAACTGCGACCCAAAACCCACTTATTGATCGCAAAGTGCCAACACGGCAATTTAACCTGAATACTGAGGTTTTACTTTAGAAAAAACAACTCATACATTAACTTAAGATGGTCCAAACAAAGTAAGGAAAGCAATCCCAAATGCTTTCATTTACTTAAAATTATTTGGCAGAGAATTCGACACTTTAATGACGGTCTGGGCCTGGCTGGGGCGATGGCATGCGTGCCCACAGAGATGGCTCTGAGTACCACCCCTGCAGCCGTGCCATAGGTTCGCCACCACTGGCTTAGAGGGAACCCTGCTCACAGGGTGTCTGTTGTGGGGAAGGGAAGGGAAAGGGGATTGTAAGCCGCTCTGAGACTCGTTTGGGAATTAAAGGGCGGGGCAGAGATCCAATCTCTTCTTCTTCTTACACTCCAGCTTCTGGTACTGGAGGAAAGGGCTGACATGTCACAACAGACTTATGGCAACCCCTCAAGAGGTTTTCAAAGCAAGAGATGAACAGAGGTGGTTTTGCCCTTGCCTGCCTCTGCGTAGCAACCCTGGACTTCCTTGGTGGCCTCCCATCCAAGAACCAACCAGGCCTGACCCTGCTTAGCTTCCGAGACCTGATGAGATCGGGCTCGCCTGGGCCACACAATGCAGTCCCTGGGTCAGGCCCATTTGTGGACAGGCCTGCATGCCGTTAACTCGAGCCTTTCCCTTGCTCCCAGGTCTATGCTGCCGGACGCGGTGGATGACTTCAAGCTCCGCAACCCCACCTGCCTCAACCTGGAAGCCTTTTTCTACTCCTTCTACGTGTTCTTCAACAAGTTCGCGGGAGGGCTTTCGCTTGGGGTTTCCACGATGAGCTTGCAGTGAGTTTCCTGTTCCACTCCCTCTCTCTTTTTTTGATAGTTGAACGTTGGGAAGACTGTGTTGGAAGATCCGCTCACTGGACAGGAAGCAGACCGTGGAGCATTTGGTGACTGGAAAGGGGTTAGGGTTGCCCGCCTCCACGGGTGGGGCCGTGGCTCAGTGGCAGAGCCTCTGCTTGGCGTGCAGAAGGTCCCAGGTTCAATCCCTGGCATCTCCAGTTAATCAGGACCAGGCTATAGGTGATGGGAAAGACCTCTGCCTGAGACCCTGGAGAGCTGTCAAGAGGGGCTGTGGCTCAGTGGTAGAGCATCTGCTTGATATGCAGAAGGTCCCATGTTCAGTCCCCAACATCTCCACTCGAAAGGACTAGGTAGGACGTGATGTGAAAGACCTCTGCCTGAGACCCTGGAGAGCTGCTACCAGTATGAGTAGACAGTAATGACTTAGAGCCAGTTTAGTGTAGTGGTTAGGAGCGCGGACTCTAATCTGGGAGAACCAGGTTTCATTTCGCACTCCTCCACATGCAGCTGCTGGTGTGACCTTGGGTCAGTCACAAGTCCTTTCAGAGCTGTTCTCTCAGGCGCAGTCCTTAAAAGAGTTCTCTCAGCCCCGCCTACCTCACAGGGTGTCTGTTGTGAGGAGGGGAAGGGAAAGGAAATGGTAAGCCGCTTTGAGACTCCCACTGATGCCTGAGTTAAACGGGATCCTAGAGAGACAAAAGTGCTCTCCCACGAGACTTTGCACTGACACGGCATCCTGTCGAGCCTGGGGCGCCACTCACGCTGAGCAGCTTTGCATGCTGCGCAACTGCTTTGCAGCCCAGGTTCGCCAAGGAATTGTGCAGAGTCCCACGGGAGAGGGCTATCGCTTCCCTAGGATCATGTTTAAATCAAACCCAAGTGGGTTGGCGCATGTGGTCCATGGCCATGGGAGGAGCACAGCCATCTTCCCCCAAGGAGCTCCAGGGAGTCTGGGGCTTCCCCACCCGCTCTCTGTTCGGCAGAGTCACCCGGCCGTCTCTCGTAAAGGCTTCCTCCCAAAGTGGTGCAATTTGACCTCGGGTCTTTGACAGTTTTGCAGGCTACAGCGCCAAAGACTGCTCGCACAACCCCCCGGTCATCCTCACCCTGCGCATTCTGATGGCACCCATCCCCATTGCTCTGCTGCTGTTGTCCATGGCTCTGTTCTGCTCCTACCCCATCAACGAAGAGCGGCGGAAAGAGATGCGAGTGGAGATGGAGGCTTCCGGGTAAGAACGGAGTTCACTGAGGAAAGAGGGTAAGAGGTCAAGGTAGGAGATTCAGGTGGAGAAAGGAGGCTTCCGGGTAAGAACGGAGTTCACTGAGGAAAGAGGGTAGGAGGTCAAGGTAGGAGATTCAGGTGGAGAAAGGAGGCTTCTAAGTAAGAATGGAGTTCACTGAGGAAAGCGGGTAGGAGGTCAAGGTAGGAGATCCGGGTGGAGAAAGGAGGCTTCTTGGTAAGAATCGAGTTCACTGAGGAAAGAGGGTAGGAGGTCAAGGTAGATCCGAGTGGAGAAAGGAGGCTTCTAGGTAAGGATGGAGTTCACTGAGGAAAGAGGGTAGGAGGTCAAGGTAGGAGATCCGGAGAAAGGAGGCTTCTAGGTAAGAATGGAGTTCACTGAGGAAAGGGGGTAGGAGGTCAAGGTAAGAGATCTGGGTGGAGAACGGAGGCTTCTAGTTGGTAAGAATCGAGTTCACTGAGGAAAGAGGGTAGGAGGTCAAGGGAGATCCGAGTGGAGAAAGGAGGCTTCTGGGTAAGGATGGAGTTCACTGAGGAAAGAGGGTAGGAGGTCAAGGTAGGAGATCCGAGTGGAGAAAGGAGGCTTCTAGGTAAGGATGGAGTTCACTGAGGAAAGAGGGTAGGAGGTCAAGGTAGGAGATCTGGGTGGAGAAAGGAGGCTTCTAGTTAAGAATGGAGTTCACTGAGGAAAGAGGGTAGGAGGTCAAGGTAGGAGATCCAGGTGGATATGGAGGCTTCCAGGTAAGAATGGAATTCACTAAGGAGAAAAGGCAAGCAGACGTGGAAATGGCATCAGACGTGCTTGATGGGGTTGTGGGGATGTGGGAACCTGTGGCTTCCTATCCACGCTCTCCTCAAACCACCTTAGGTATGATCTTAAGCTCCCTGCCCTGGAAGGCTCAGTATGTTCTGGCCACCAGCAAGCTTAAGCCCACGAGAGGTCGTGGCTCATTGGTGGCTCATCTGTCTCGGCATGCCAAAGGATCCCAGGCTCAATCCCTGATATCTCCAGTTAAAAGGGACCAGGTAGCAGGTGATGTGAAAGACCTCTTGCCTGTAGACCCTGGAGAGCCGCTGCCAGTCTAATGCTGACCTTGATGGACCAAGGGCCTGCTTCAGTAGATGGCAGCTTCAAGTGGTCATGCCTGTGTCTGTACGAGCCTGAGCATAGAGTCCCCCGTGGCACTGCCAATGCTGGGGGTGGGGGAAGCTACGAATCTTGACTTGTTTCTGGGGTGCTTTAACATCCCCATCCTCCCTGCACTTCACGATCCGTTAAACGTGGGCTTAGATTTCCATGTGCATCTTTCACACAGCCGTCGAGGACAGACCGACAGCCCGGAGTCGGATGCGACTTAAGCCCCATCTGGAGAATAACGTGACCGTGTACTCCCGCCTGGCTGTGGACGAGAGAGGTCGGCGCTGTTGCGGGAAAGACCTCGATGCTTCTCGCTCCTGACTTCTGCACGGCAAAGAACAGATCTTCGCCATATCTCTCGGAGCATGCAAGAAAGTTTCATTGGCTTGTTTAAGATACCAGATAAAGGAATCCCGTGAGGCTTGATCGAAGCCTTCCTACATAAGGACAGTTTTTCCTCACTGTGCTACGGATACGGTGGCTTCGACTGATGGGTTTAAACGCTACGAAAGACCTTCTTTTTATCGGGATGACGGATCGAGCAAGTGGGAACAGATTGCTGAATGCAACGGTGGGTTCTCCTTCCTTGGAGAGAAGGTCAAACAGCTGTCCGGAATGCTCTCTATATCATCCTCTTCTGTCTTTGTATGAGGAAGGAAAAGGGACATTTGCCAAGGTCATGTAGACGTGCAATATCAGCATGTCCCAAATGCCGGGGATCTGGGCGACCCCAAATAAGATGCCAAGTGGCGCTAGTCCAAAACTCTGTGTCAGCCTTCTCTGAGATCTGCCCATGCAGCTCAACGGATAACCTTGGGCCAGTCATTAAGAACATAAGAGACGCCAATGGTGCAATATCAGCATGTCCCAAATGCCGGGGATCTGGGCGACCCCAAATAAGATGCCAAGTGGCGCTAGTCCAAAACTCTGTGTCAGCCTTCTCTGAGATCTGCCCATGCAGCTCACCGGATAACCTTGGGCCAGTCATTAAGAACATAAGAGACGCCAATGTTGGATCAGACCAAAGGCCCATCCAGTCCAACACTCTGTGTCACACAGTGACCACAAATACCAGTGCCATCAGGAGGTCCACCAGTGGGGCCAGGACATTAGAAGCCCTCCCACTGTTGACCCCCCCCCAGGCACCAAGAAGACAGAGCATCACTTGCCCCAGAGCCCCTATCTATACCTTGTGGCTCATAGCCACTGATGGACCTCTGCTCCATATGCTTATCTAATTCCCTCTTGAAGCCGTCCATGCTTGTAGCCGCCACCACCTCCTGTGGCAGTGAATTCCAAGTGTTAACCACTCTTTGGGTAAAGAAGGACTTCCTTTTATCCGTTCTAACCCGACCGCTCTGCAGTTTCATGGAGTGCCCACGAGTTCTTGTATTGTGAGAAAGGGAGAAAAGTACCTCTTTCTCTACCTGCTCTTTCCCATGCATCATCTTATAAACGTCGATCATGTCTCCCCTCAGTCGTCGTTTCTCCAAGCTAAAGAGCCCCAAGCGCCTTAACCTT